AGACGGTTTGGATTTTTTAAATCTTTGAGTGAAGATATCTCACACTCTGTTTCACTACACTCTAGGTATTTTTTCTAGGTATTTTTTCTAATAAAATTCTAATATTAGATTTCGGAACTTTCGCCAGGTTTCGGTTTCGCCAATTTTCGGACATTTCGCCAATTTCGGACATTTCGCCAGGTTTCGGACGTTTCGCCAATTTCGGAATTATCGGATTTCAGGCTTTGGGCGAAATATATTTCGCCCGAAACACTAGCCATGATCATGGAGCATTGGGATCTTGTAATTTCAGAATAACAAATCCCTAAAAATTTTAATATTAATTAAACAGAACATAAAAATTATAAAATAACATTCTAATACGTATAATAAGTGGAATCCGTGAAATTGGGTAAAAATCAACAGCAATTCGATTTATGCACATGAATGGTGCCTCAAAATACTACCAAAATACAGAATTATTTTAGCATGATTGCCGAATTATTTTTAGAATTCATTATTAGGCCATACCAAGAAATTCTGCTTTCCATACGTAGCATGAAAATTCTACAGACGCATTAGGTAATGTTATCCACATTTTGTGTATTATTTATTGGAATTCGGAGAGTAATACAAATTTTACTTTATAAATATGTGAGAAAAAACTCTCTATTAGTTGTATAAGAGAGAAGCGCAAGAATAATTCTTTTTTGCTAACCATAAAGAAATCTTGTATAATCGACTTATCAGAATTCAATCCAAAAGTCCAAGATTTTCTCATCTGCACATAGAATACGTAAGAGTGATTTTCTTGATGAGTTAATTGTGCACCGTATAATCAATTTGAAAAAAATGCGATGGCGCTGACTTAGTTATCAAAGGAAAGTAATTAATACTATCACAAGCAATGAACTTGACCTTGGCACTATAATTTCCAACCTTAGGACTTCATGCGACATGAGGAGTTTAGGATTTACTTATTCACAATGAGTACATAAAGTTAACCTTTGAGGTACTCAAACAAATATACAGTATTTAATATTTTGTCTCTTAAATAGTGGGGGACAATACGCCATCTTTGGTTAATCGGAAGTTACACCTGATTCGTACATGTTCGGAATTTTTGTGACCTGCCAATACGGTGATCCAAATTTAATATGCTTTTCCAATCAATCCTTGGTTTGCAACTTGTGCGGTACATAAAAATGTGTACCCTCCAGGTTTCCGTTCTTTTGTATGTTTTTCGACTCTGACAGCTAAAATTCAATAAACACGTTTTTTGTAAAACACCCCCAAGTTCTGTAATAGAAAGTTTACTCCGTATACAAATTCATTGCTGTTTAGTTTTTATTTGAGAAAAAAAGCATTTCAATATGATGAGTAAGTGTAGCGAAATACCTGAACAAGGCAGCAATCTTCAAGGGTGGCTGTTAGCATTTGCTTCCGGTTTAGCTTGTTGCATAGGAGGTAAGTTGAAATGTATGAAATGTAACCTGAATTGTCAAATGTTATTTTATATTTCTTTTATTGATATATTTATATATTCCTGCTTCAGCCTCCGCAGTTTTTTCAGACATCCTTATTCCAAAGTTAAAGGTCACTAGACATAAGCAAAATTTAAATTTTATGGTTGCGTCATTTGCTCTCGGGTCAGGAGTATTGGTACTGTATTATTTAAAAAACTTAAAAAATTTAAATATCATTGCTTCTAAAAATTTTACTTATATAAGTAAATTTTTCTCAGCTATATTCAAGCTTTTTTACTTTGTTACATGAATCAAAGAAACATTTTATGGACGCTGAAATATCAAAGGGACACTCCAGTTATTACTTGATCTTCTTTTACTTTTTGGGTGTAATTGGATCCGTTTTGATCAATTATTTGATTCATAATTTCATTACGGACGAATCTTTCCATTCTCATCATCACAATCACCACAACTTTCCTCAAAATGAAACTCCAATACACAAAATTTCAAAAAAAACTTCAAAAATGAATAGCTTGAATCTTGTCGACAGTCATAGCGAAAATACACCACTGCTAAAAAATCACTTTGATGAACACACTGCTGACATATCTAAAGATGATTATTGCAATTTACAAAATATTCGTAATTTCAATGAAGCCGACAGCTCAGAAAGTCACCCCATTTTTGTTGTGGATAGTGATACTGATGAATCTCCTATTCCTTCTGGTGATAGAGATAATTGTCATCATCATCATAATCACGACCATTCAAAATCTGATCAAGAGAATGCAAAATTAATGCAAATAGGAATTCAAACTGCTTTAGCAATTTCTATTCATAAATTTCCAGGTATTTATTTTGATTTTGTTTAAAAATTATCATTCAGGATTAGTTCTGACTGTTCAATAATTCAATAAGACCCTACCCAATTTTACCAATGTCTGGTCTAATCTATCCATTTTTTGAACTGGTCAATTAGCTAAATTGGTCAAATTGTATAATTATATATATATATATATACATATATGTTGTGCCCCAAACGACATTCTAGTCTTCGATTGTTAATTGGGCTGCCCAAATGTTAATTGGTCAAATCTAATCCTAACGTCTAGCCAATTTCGGCCAGATTGACATTTGGGAAAATTGTCATCTGGGCACAACATATATATGTTATATAATTATTATTAAATAATAAACCAGCCCTTTAATCTGAAAACTTGATCAATGGTTATTTGACCACTTGATTATTATTGCCAATCATGACAATCTAATATATGTCTAATATTTTTATAGAGGGTCTTATAACTTTCGTTTCTTCTCAAGCGTCTCGTTCCCTTGGTTTCGCCCTATTCGCCGCTATTGCTTTACATAATATCATAGAAGGCCTCACTATTGCTCTCCCTATATATATCGCAACACGTTCACGAATAAAGGCGTTTTTGTACTCTAGCATTTTGGGTGGTTTTAGTCAACCATTAGGTGCTCTAATTGGCTGGCTATTTCTAAATGAGTCACTCTTCAGTTGTTGGAATCACAACTTTATTTACGGAGCTTTGTTTGCCGCAACCAGTGGTTTAATGAGTGTTATTTGCATCAATGTTTGTAACATTAATTTTTTCTGTCGTTAGAGTATCTATCGTCTTTAATTGATTAATTGACTAATATTTTCTATTCATACAGGGAATGCTGCCTCAAGCAGTCAAACATGATACAAAAGATGGTCAGCTCGTGAGCTTTTTCTTTTTCCTTGGAGTCTTTTTCATGGGCATGAGCTCTGCATTATTTGAGCAATCATAGAATAGAAGTTTACTTAATTTAAAATTTTTTTTCTTTTGATAATAAAATTTCTGTGTAAATAAATGTTGAATTTGTTACTATTTGTTCAAATGGTCGAATCTAAAACTTGCCGGCCCGCAGCATTATAACCAATCTGGTCCGGCCTGTTGTTTCTGCCAATCTTGGCACAGTCATGACCCGCTCTTTATCGTGTTTTTGGCGATCCTGGTCCGCTTTTTTATTATGCCTTTGGCAAATTTTAGATTCGACTGAAATTTACTATTATATATAGCTTTTAATTTTACTGTATCTCATTCATGCTAGTTTAAAGATAATAAATTCACATCATTAGAATGAAACCCAGTGATATCTTCATGATAATCACATCACATGATTAAGTGTTCAGCCTACGTTAGAGTTAGGTGATAGGTTAGTTTAGGCTAATTTGTTTAGTGCTAGTAAACAAATGATGTAATTGCATGATTTCACTTGATGTGATAATCACGTCCCAGAATTCTGGAAGTGCATAAATAAAAATAAAAATAAATTGATGTTTTTGATTGTTGCGGTTGTGCTAAATCAAGACGGGATTTCATGCGTCTGATCACAAATTTTGGGAGAAATTAGGGCTCCCAAAAAGGTCAAGTGATCTTTGTAATCTTTATATAAAAACCATGACTAAGATTCTTAAGGATGCATTTTCGTCAAAGAAACTTCGCTTGCCAAACAAACCATTAGACGAGACCGGGTAGTCATCGCAACAGTTTGTTTTGAATATGCGCAGTAGTGCTCCGAATCGGGTCGGGTCAACCCGAAAATTATCCAATTTATAGATGCGCAAAATTAGCATTTTTACGTTTTTTTTTGGTTCTAATAGCAAGTGGATATGTATTTTTAATAATAATAAAACAGTCAAGTATGCACCAATCAGATTTCTTCAAACGATCGACACAAAATTGTCACTCGATTTTTGATTGGTTAACGGCCGCAGATCTGCAAAATTTGGTCAACATTACTTGTAATTAACTTTGTTACAAAAATAGAAATTTCTGGCCACATTATGGTAAAATTGACCCAGGAACAATTTTCACTTAATAGGCTCTGTAGTTACATTAGTAGAATTCTGAGTAATTCTGTCCAAATTTTTTGTTCATCGCTCTTAGCCAATCAAAATCGAGAATCTGCTGTGAGTACAACGTGAAAATCACAATTTTTAAAAAACTGTCGATACATAACTTGAAATTTCGACTATGAAACCACATTCTGCGCTCTAATATAAAAAATTTCTAATTTCTAATCTAACTTTAATGTATATTTTTCACTTTAAAATATTACACGTATTGAAATTAGTTTGATTCATCGAAGAGATCTGATTGGTGCATATTTGTTGATATCTCAGGCCAATGAAATTAAAAATCCCTGGTAATAAGGACTGGATTAATCAGTGCCCCATGCACTTTGTGCCCCCTATTATAAAATCATAAATTTTGCTAGAGTAACCCATGTTGAATAACCAAGCAAAAATGTTCCTCCCGCAATTTTACACTACACTAACCTAACCACAACCTAATTTTTTATCAATTTTGCTATAGGCGCACAAGTGCACGGGTGCACTGACTAGATTTTCCCTATTAAATACAACACAATCCACAACTTTTTTTTCATTGCAAAGGTCAAAGATGTTTTAAAATATTAAAATATAAACTTAATAATACGGAATAAAATTAATAAAAAATCGATTCAATAAATTCTAAAATCAAGTATATGTATTGTTACGGGGTAAATAGTATCCTTTAACTAGTATATACACGAAATATATGATTTTAGGTGATAAGGCAACTCGCCAGAGGTGTGACGTTGGTGATTTGACAATAATATGGTTTTAAAGATTTTATCAAGGTGATTTATTCAATATATTATAGGTGTAATAT